CCCCGCCTTCCCGCCCTGCACCGCTGTTGGTATACAGTAGAAGATATGTAATACATTTAGTATAAATCGAATCAATTGGAAAAAATATATTGATCATAGAAGCACTCATACGTTTGCACTCTTTCATGCCCTAAAATTAGAAAAAAATTCTCAACATATAATTTTTAAGACTTCCGTCCTTATCCCCACTCCGCTTCCGTGCTCAACATCCGCCACTGGTACGCACCCAGCACAAAATATTTGAAAATAGTTAGCACGAGAGGGACACTTGAGCAAAGCATAGTTTTCGTGTGTTTTTGAGAGTACAGCACTTCAAGTCTGTCCACAGCCGCTCTCATCTGTCTAATCGTTACCTGCGGAAAGCTTTTTCGAGAAAGTGAAGAAAATAATTTTGAAAAATTGTTCCTATTTTTGATTAGCCCTTTTGCACACGTGTGCAACTAAATTCGTGTCCGATCTGTGATCGTGCGTCAAGTTCGTTGTTTATCTGAATGATGGCTTGTGTATCGCATTTCACACAACGCTCATGCTCGGGATTCTTCACTTCGAAACATGCGAATTGTGGGAAATTCGCCGGTGACGGCGATTTCCGCGAGTCGCGCCACACGGCGATGGGTAATCGCTGCTCAGCTCGGTAATCTGTTCCTACTCATCGTACTGTATCTACATGCCTACATCACTTTTGTAGTGGGTTACAGTATTTTTGATTTTGTGATTTATGGAGTTGGCATAGTTTTGTTTAATATTTACAGACTCTCGAATGTGACATGCTAGGAGAGGAACCAGTGCAGGATGAGACGATAACGATAAGGACGAAAAGATCATCAGCTAAAAGACAGACATTGCCGTTGGAAGTCGAAGAATATACTATTATTCTAGGCCAGAATACTTTGATACCAGTAAGAACTTACCCTTATCTGATTGGTAAAGTCATCAGAGATTCACAAAAAAATGAAAATTGGAAGAAAAACCGGTGAATGTGCCACATGTGTATTTGTTTTTTTCCCACTTCGATTTCTAATAATTTTTTGTTTATGCTAAATGACAATGTAGTCACAATGGCGTACTTTTTGCACTAAATAAAAAATAGTAAAATAATTGTCAATCTCACCAGAAAATCCTCATTCCTAATCGTTCTTTTCCTGACCTCAAAGCACTCTTACATACATTTTCCAGAAAAAAAAAGTGTCGTAAACTCTTTATTGCCTTCTAGAAAGTGTGTTTACGCCCAAAAAATTAGAAAAATCTGTCTTACTGCAAATAAAACGCGTTTCTCGAAAACCCGTAAATTTCCAGAAAAACGTGCTCGAACGATCATGTGCACGTATTCATCGGCATTGCTCGGATGCTGGTATGAAATTAATGGGCTTCCAAGGTGCTCGGGGAGATCCGGGATCCCAGGGACCTGTGGGACCACCGGGTAGGAGCTCGCATTGACTTTCTATTTATACAAGTAATTTGCATAGTTTATAGGTAAAAGAGGTCCGGTAGGGAATGTTGGTCCAAGTGGACTGGTTGGTGATGCTGGAGAGATTGGGCCTCCTGGCAAGGATGGTAGGTGGTTCTCTGCTCTCAAGAACTTTCTCATTTTCCCAAAATAAGCTACTTTTGGTCTTTAGATTTCTCTGATAATTTGTCCTTGTAAAAGAAGCGGCATCGAAAAAATACATAATATGTCAACTGAATCCACATAAGTCCAAATTTTGTTGGGTCGTTTTAATTCGCAATTTTGAATTTTTTATTGATATAGGTGATATATCT